GAAAGAGAAGAATATTCTCTGCTGATAACTAAACCTATGCTGCAGTCAGGTGTTTACTCTTAGTCTGAATATGCTGCTCCAGTGTGGCAGGTGTTCAGTGCTGCTGAGGGTGGCTTTGGTGTAAAACTGACTTGGATTAGGGGGCAGCAGAACAACAGTACTGGAATTATTGGAGGCCTAAGTGAGCAGCATCTGAAGATGCACACTCTGTCTGGGGATTATATGGGACTTGCTTAAAATGAGCCTTCACCATACAGCTCTTAGATGCTTTCTGTGTCCTTTTGAGATAGTGTCCTCTTCTACAAATCTTTCACCACACCTTCCCAAAGGAAAGATGATGTGGAATCTCTAGCCAAGAGTTGGTTAGCTAACAATCTACAGTTCCTAAGCTGATGCTCTAGTCTTTCCTTTCAACCTAACAGGTCAAAGCAGCTTTTACACGTGCCTACAACAAGGAGGCACATCTGACTCCATATTCACTTAATTCTGTCAAGACATCTAAAAGGCAGTCAGGATCTGCAGTGACGTTAGAACTGAATGAAGACTTGAATGTGGAAGAGATCCAGTCTGATGAGGATGAGCAAGATACTGTTGAAAGTGATGCAATGATTAAGGTGACTTAGTTTCCTCAGTGTTAAACTACCACACTAAACTGTTTCCTCTTAAGTTACCTTTCTGGGACTTTTAACATCATCTGAATTTAAAAAAAAAAAAAATCAGAGTAGGTATAAAATATACCATCTCTCAACTTTTACATTCTTAACTAGTAGTAGTGTGAAAAAGTCTTAAGTTATTTCCATCCATCGTCTTCTGCTTGAGTGCTGGACCAAAGTGAGACATCACTGTGAACTCGTGAACACTGCACCCAGTTCCAAAACTTAGTAATATTGGAGGTGTTGGTGTGGACAGTGCCATTGGTAAGGAGCAGCCACAGGCCTTTGCTTGTGGTTATCACAGACGGTCATTCCAGTAATCCCTTTGTACCTGTCACCAAATCAGGGAACTGTGGTCAGCCCTTAAGACTGAACACTGTAGAGTCTCTACTCTCCATGGCATTTAGAAACTTGATATGTGAAAGGGGAGGGGAAGAGAAGAGATGGCTTTTTCTTTTAACACTGACTGTATTTTGACTTATGCTTTTGTCAGGTTGCAGCTGGATTTTAAACTGTCTGTATATTCTGTTTGTAGCAAAAAAAGGCAAAGTCTTCCAAGCTGCCAAAAAAAGAGAAAAATGAAGAAACAACAAAAAAAGAAGGGAAAAGAAAAGAGAAAACAAGACATTAAACAGAACAAAATCTTGCTCTGGATGCAGCTTTGCTTATCTAACATCTGGCAGGAACACAAAACAGATCCAGTGATGGAGCTGGGAAAGTAGAACCAGTGCATTGAAAATGCTCCTCTTATAGAGGTGATGTTGCTACTGTACTCTCTCACTATGCAGTGCTGTACTTACCCTTAACGTGCTACAGCGTTACAGGCTATAACTATCCTTGTACAACGAACACCGGGGTGCATGAACATGATGATAACATGATGCTTACTTACCTGGCATTTATGCTAAGTCTTCCTAGGACTTCTCTACTTTTTTTTTTTTTTTTTTAAATCCCCTGATATTATGTGGTGAGCTCTTGTAAATAGTACATGATGCAGATCCCCCCCCCCAACTGAAATTGCATATTTGTACATTATAGAAATTAAGCAGTGTGTAAAATTATAATAAAATGTTTCACAGGAGTCTTTCAGAATTCTGGTTAAGTTCATGGAGTGTTCTGTATCTCTCCCTCTCTTCCAAGGTTCTGGCTTTCCTGCACATACAGGATGTAGTTATATTTTTTTCCTACAATTTCCCTTTTGTTCTAAACTTGAGGAGCCTTAAAGTTGTATCTTTAATCAAAACCAGAAAGGAATACTTAGAGTGAGAAATGTGTAATAGAAAATAGTCATAAAAGTTCAGAGCTGATGTTGAAAAGAGAACACGAGGGGGTTTTTTTCTGCTACTTGCCCCTTGGTTTCTTTGGTGCAGTTAAAATGCAAATTTTGCTTGGTAAGAAGAATTATCAATCAGTTTTATTACTATAATAAATCAAAGTACAAAATTTATCAAAAGCTAAATATTTACAGGCTATCACAAAATAGAAATGACATGGTGGTTGTTATTAAATCCTAGTGGGGAAAAGATGTGTAATGTTGTGATAGAGCTTTCCTTGCTCCTTGCCAGACAACACATGCAGTTCTGAAAATAAACAGAGGCAGTTAGTCATATCCCCAGATATAAAGACAGTGATAGCAAGCTACAAGGAAAAAAAAATTATACCACAATAACCTTATTTTTGTTAGTTTATATAATTTTATAATTTTACTTGTACATTACTTTGACCTATAGGTCAAAGTTTTCACATAAGGTGAAAACACACATAAGGTGTTTGCACTAGTAAATCTGCCTTCAAATGTCAGAATTACCAAGGAACTTTGTTAACTCATTTTCAGTTACCATTCCTTTAACAAAACGGAAGTCTTAGATCTAAGTGTGTGGTATAGAGCGAGCAGTGGTCTCATTCTTTAAAATCTGAGTATTTCAAAGCAATACTATGTTGCTGTTATCCTGTGATACATTCTTATATTCTGTTAAACGTAGAAGCTAAGATCATGTAACCTGCGTTTTAGTTCTGTTCCTTCCAGTTAGCATATCTCTCTCTTCCTACTCTTAATCACTTTTTGGTAGATCTGTAGAGGGATTTGATGATGCTGAGATCTTCAAACTGTTCTCTGAGCTACTAAAGCACAGCTAGTGTTAGGGAACATTCCGAACCAGAACACGTTACAGAGGATAATGCAATCAAAGAGGTAAACTGGTTTAAAGCCTCAGAACCAGGATGATTTAACAACCATGTTACTTGCAGTAGCAAAACCTACTGATGTTTGCATGCCTGAGGGCAAATAGGTGATGCAGCTGGGTCTCAGCTATCTGAGGCATACACCCAGGCTGCAAGTTAGATTCTTGAACACTGCCTTTCCCTTGCTGGGAAAACCTCTGAGCCCTGTTAAGTAAAAAATACAGGCTCTAGCACCTACCTGAATTTATTGGTCCCCATCATCTGGTCTGAGGTACTGTGTGCAGTCATTTATTTTCTTAAGATGAACAATGTTAATCCTTTCGGAACACATTGGACATATGTTTTCAGTCTGTAACATGCTGTTTTAAAAGAAGGGTGACTGGTCAAATGGTAATTCTAACATTTTCAAAGGAACAGCTGGGCCTGAGGCAGGAAGCATAGAGCAAAGTTCTGACCTATGCTATGTAACAAATACAGGCCAGAGCAACAGCTGCTTCTGCTAGGTGGAGCAAAGGTTGGTTTGTTCATTTTTAATGTTTGACAACTAATATCACAACAGGAATGCTGCTGCTGTTTGCATGGGCATGAGGAAAATTTGGCAATTAAAACATACAAAGGACCTTGGGCTAGAACATGAAGTTTCTGCAGCTTCACAATTCCTGACATCCGAACAGAGCTCTCCAATCCCATTCTCCCACAGATGATTACTGGGGACATGAGATTATTGCTGCCTTAGTCTGCACCCAATACTGTGTGTGTTTTGTTTGTTTTGGTGACTGCTGCTGTGCCTGTGTTCCCCTCGCCCCCATATCAGGTCTTCTTCCTGGAAGGAGCCGAGAACTTACACAAGCCCATCCATCTTCATTACTGTTCCTGCTGTTGGAGCCCTCCCTGCATCTCTGGCTGAGTTCTTTCTTTAGCGTAGTTTTTGGTCCACTTTGAAGCGATGTTCTGTGAGCGTGTTAGATGAAACTGCCAAGTAAGGGGGGGGGTTCCTCTTCTGTTCCCTCCCCACCCCCAGGTGTTACATGTTTTTTAGTACCAAATGAAACAGGTTGCTGCTAAAATATGAACAAACATTGGAATCCTGCAACGGAAAAAAAAATACCAACTTACTTCTTGAATTCTGAATAGAGGGCAGGAAAGTCACAGTGTGGGCAGACTGTCCAGTCATCTCGTACCATGTGCCGGCCCTGCACGCAAAAGCCACAAGTAATTACATGGCACGTGCTGTCCTCGTACACTGGGCATTTAGTTTTGTACCCACTATTGTGAAAAAGTCTCAGCAACTGAGCTCTAAATATCCTGAGGAATTAAAACCCCAAAAGCATAATAGTGTTACTGTAGTTTGATTACTGTGTAAATTCGGTAACTAGGAAAGGAGCTCTCAATGAGATGCAGTGTTTTCATTATAATTTACATTCCTCTTTTAAAAAAACAAAATCTAAGAATGTATTGAATTACAACTTTTAAAATTCTTTTAGTTTAGCAATACAGAATGTTACCTGTAGATCTATGTCTAGAGATGCACGTAAATCTACTGGGATTTTTGGTGTTCCATATGACATTCAAAAAAAACAAATAATGTGAAATATACATGAATATGTACATTATGTTTGGCTCATAAAGCTATATTTAAAAGTCTTGGGTTTTTTCCTTAAGATAATACTTCTAAAATATACGTCATCTCACTCTGCTAAACCAATAGAGTTAAAAAAAAAAAAGATAATTGCTATTAATGATTTTTGTAAGACTTAATTCTTTAGTTTTAATAAAGAATGTTAGCTCCAACATTTGATTCCTGCTCAAGTAAATTTTGATTTTTCTGTAATTCTAGTGTGACAAATCACTTGAACCTAATAAAAATAAAGTGTTAGTCATACAATAGCTAACCTCAGTATAAAGATTTTGTACTGAATCTGGTAACAGTGGGATGCACAGCCCTTCCACTGAGAAATGCACCCCATCCATACCTTTTCAGTACACTAAAGTATCCTGAAACAAAAATGTTAGAGCTTCTCATTTCTGTAAGGATCAGTAATACAAAAAATGCTGAAGTCACTGGCTGAATCATTACTTATCCTTGGAAGTGCCTAAAAATTCTGTTACATTCTGGGCATTCCCCAAAACAGATCTTTGAAGAGTGGTTTTTTTTGTTTTACTTGAAGTCTTGGCAGCCTGGAGTTCAGGGGAGGCGAGCTGTGCCTGCCACAAGCTCCTGTACATGGAAGAAAGGGGGACTTCCATCTCTGCCATTACTGCTCTGAGCACTGGAGCAGCTGAGCGCTGGGCTGGGCAGGCACCGGCACCAGCAGCACGATCCCGTCTGCGCTCTCCAAATGCACCAACTGCAGCGAACGCACGTGTGCTGGGTGTTCGGGGCGGCCTGATGCACGCCCGGCCTTCTCAGGAAGCTGCAGTCTTCCAGAACCACTTCGTGATTTTACTGTCACCCTTAAGTGCCTGCAACTTGTAGGTAGCAACTAAGGACACTCTGTGATAGTTAAAGACAACAAGAATGGTTTTTACTGTTTTGGTAACAGCTTGGGGAAAAAACCCAACAAACCAACTCACAAAAACATCTGGCTTGAATCTACTAGCAAACCGAAGATGTTCAGGTGAACTTATTTTTAGAAGGAAAGAAAAGCTTTGTGATCATTCTCACACTGCAGAAAACACCGCAGACACTCACCGTTGCAATACAGTATGGGAGATTGTTTTTACAGCCGGGACACAAAAGTTCACACTCTGGGAGCTGGAACGCACAACAGGGACAGGCTGTTGTTGGCTCCTCTGCCTCTGTTGTGTCTGGACGTCTAGAAGTGAGATACAAATGTGAATAAAAACCTCAAGTGCTTTGACCGTGAACAAAGATGTTTTACAATGCAAGTGTTTTTCCTCTGAGTTATTTGCATAGCTTCCAGCTGCTATTTTGTATTCCACCAGATAATTCCTTTTAACTATCAACCAAGTTTCATCACAATTATGTAAACTCAGAAATAGGTTATTTTCCATCTAATTTGAAACAATACAACCTTTTTAAAAGCTATAAGAGATCATAATACTTTGAAATCTTTCAGAACTCATGGTCTGTATGTATAGATATACAGCTATGGTTTCTCTATTTCAGTGTTTTTCTGTGACAGGAGTGACCACAAAGAATCGAAGTAACAAGACAAAACTGGCACCCTGGTGGGACTATACAGCTTGTAACTCTGCCTTTCACAGGCTTGTTTTCATCCAAGTGTCTGTTGGAATGATGGTCCCGATCCTGACATCGCAGCACCTGGGGTGGGGGGACAGAGGGAGGGAGGGGAACTTTTTTTCTTGTGTGACCTTAACGTTTAATCTTCTATGGAGCATTTATAGATGATGAGCTTAGATTCACTTTTAGCATATTTTCCAATGAAGAAGATGATCCATCTTTTCTAATGTTTAACCTAGTAACCTTGGAGACAATTAGATGGCTTCCTTAGTTATCCCGATACTTTGTACAAAGCCTAATTTCTCGTTTTGTTAGCCTGGGCGTGTATGTTTCCCTTCCAATGGCCTGTTCCTTTGTCTCCACTCAGATTTCGATCTGAGGTATGGATATACCTGATGGATTAGGAACGCATCAACATGGCTTTTAACATTGGTGTCATGTTTTAGAAGCTTACTGGAATGTTCTAGAAATATTAACAAGCAGGCAATAGGGAAGAACTGTGCGTGAATTTTAAAAAAATGGTTAAAAGATACCAAACAGACTAAGATAAACAGTTCTCACAGTACACATCTGTGGTAACCTACTGCTGTGCTGCATGCTCATAAAATATAAGTGAAAATAATGTGATGACATGGGGAGGAAGCCAAAGCGAGGCCTATTGGAAAAAAGTTTCCACATGTAAGATGAACTCTGAACTGCTGTTGCTTAGGAACAAGACCTTGCAATTATAATATATGCTACGAAAACATCAGCTGACTTTAAAAACAGTCAAAGCATATCAAGTAGGCTGAAACAGAGACTCATCCTGCTACTACATAAATCCATGGGTTGTCTACATCTTAAATACAGTGTGTAGTTTTGGTCCTGCCTCCTCCAAAAAGGTTGTAAAGAGTTTCAGAGAAAGGCCATAAGGATCAGTGTCCATAAAAGAATAGGTATGTAAGCTGAGACACTTCAGATCCTGAAAAGATATGACTGATAGAGGGGAAATGAAAAAAAATAGAGGTCTATAAAATCGTAAGTGACACAGAAAAGGCTAGATCTCTCCCAAGAGGAAAACTACAAGGCATCACATTAGCTAGGGACCAGCCTTGACACAATGGAACTTCTTGTTACAGGAGTCATCTGTTGCTAAAAATTTACGTGGCTTCAAGCAGAGAGATTCGATAAGCTCATGGAGAGCTTAGAGACTTAACAAATACCTGAAACACCCATATGGGCTCAGCAAGTCCCTGAGCCTCAAAATGGTTAGAGCCTAGTAGAATAAAAAAGAAAAGCATTACATATGCTTGCCCTGCTCTTATACGCTCACCTACGCTTCCTCCTTTGGCAGAAAATATTGGCTAGGATCTGTCAAAACAGAACATCAGATAAGGAAGAAAATGTGAAGAATTCATCTATTTTATGTGCCCTTTCATTCTTTTTTATCTTAGCCATTTACTCAGTAGTCCAAATCACAGAAGAGCATACTGCTGATGCTGTAGTAGCTAACAGTTGACATGTACATTCCTAACTAGAAAACAACTAAAGCTGCATGGCTGCCCTTACGTCTGAATGGACCAGATGGAAAATGTTACTGCTGGCTAGGAAGCATTTTACATGCACACTGCATTTAAGGTTTACTGCATCCAATTTTCAGAGAAGGGGGGAAATAGTTCTTAGCCTTCCAAATTTCAGACAGTGAAGTAATAAGAAAACAGGATAAAGCCCGTAGGCTTTATGAGCAAAAATAACATTACAAATAAAGCCTTGACATTGTGCACATTTGAAAGTACAGATTAACACTGCTCACCTGACCATTGCTTCAATTTTCTTTTTGTATTTAAGATCTATTTTATTACGATACTCAGGTCTCATCAACATAGCAGCAAAACTGAAGGCAGAGTTCTTCAATCCTGCTCTATGACACTCAATTACAGTTGAAGTCAAAATTGGCACAATGTCTGTAAGAGAATGAAACGATGTCAAATATTTACTTACCAATGTTAATGTTGAAAGCATTTGAGCTTTTGGCTCAAAGGCTAAAAAGGTACTGATGAAAAATGACAGTATTTTTCTTCTTCCTCATGGTACACAGTTGTACAATTTGTGCAATTCCTGTAACCATATACAAGAAAATCATGGTTTCACCTCTTACTGCCTTTCATTTCTGAAGCTCAGGAATGCAGCAGCCATGTTTTGATTATAACCGTTTCTCCCAAATCTGGTCTGCACTGTTTAAAGTCTACATTTTAGTCTACATTTTCCATGTACCCAAAAAGTATTTTCAAAAGAAGATTGATTAAAATTTTGTGATAAAGTCACAGAACCAATCAGTTCATTACATATGATCCTGAGACTTTGTGTGTGGTTCAGGCAGCTCCGTACCACAGTTACGGTGGGTGAGGACAGATTAAACTGCTGGTGAGGAACCCACCCTGGAGGCCATATATCAAAGAGCTATCCTGTGGAGGATGGCAGAGCACACTGTATATTTACACTTTGTCATGTGCCCTATAGAATGTACCTTCTAATGCAATGATTAATGAATTGTCCTGTAGAGCACAGCGCGCTCCTCTATGCTGTCAGCACTTACGTGATGGGAACTTGCTGATGTTGTTGGCTACACGTATAAGCATACGTGCTCCCTTCATGTGATCACCACGTTTCACATGAGTCTGGAATACAACAAACATATCGAATTAACTGCAGCCTTTAGAGAGTAATTCCTGCAGCCTGCTCTTGGTGTTCATCCTTCTGGGAGCTGCACGCCCATGGCTCTTTCACGAAACTGAGCAGAGGTATATCATGCACTAGAGAAAGGACCAGAGACTTATAGTGGCTCTTTCCCAGAACAGTTTTTCTGGTCTTCAGCCCACTATTTGCCTGCTCTTTCCTCACTGCTTGTAGAGATGGAGGTCAGAAGCTGGCTGTAGGCTGAATGGATATCCTGATGAGCCATGAGTTAACTACTAGAAATCATTTGAGCCCCCCTGCTTAATTTCATTTACAGAAAAGCAGCGATCTGCTTGTGAATAATAATTAATAATAGTACTAGCAGTGTAACATATTTGTAAGTATGAATGCAAAAGAAATACAGGAAGCCAGATGTAGGTTTTTAATTATTCGGTATTTAGAAAAGAATATGTTAATCAAAGAGGCAGAAAGAACCAAAAGGTATGATTGTCCTTGTTAGCATGCACTTGGATTCCCTGATAGAACTTACATGACAAAGTAATTTATGTATACAGAGCATCCATATGTACAGTTCAATAAACCAGAGTCTGTGCAATTTATGCATAAATTCAGTTTCTCAATTCATTACCTTCACTAAAATATAGCTGTGTAGAATCATAAGGTTTGTAGCCATCTCAGAAGGAATTTTAATCTTCTGGGTCTTTAACTCCGAATACATACTGAAAAGAACATCATGTGCATTTCGGTAGTTTCCTTAAAAACAAACAACACTGAATAGTAAATTTAATTTTTCACAACAATTTCTTTACTAATGACATATATGGAAGCTAAACAGGAAGTTATGTTGATTCTTAGAGCAAAACATTTGCATGACAATTTCTTTGGAAAGTCACAAGCAGTTGCTTGTCACAGTATCCTAAACAGTATCCGCCAGGGAGTTAAATAAGAAAAAACATTACACTTGGAGAAGTCATCTAAACAGTAGCAAAATAATATGTGGATGACAATTTCATATAATGAAACTTTAAAAATGGAAGATGCTGTATCCAATACATTGCTTCCACAACAAAGAGGAGAAAAGGTATTTATAGAGCATTTAGAGACGTTACCTGGTTTTGTTTTTCAGTGTCAGATATTCAAAAGCTGTTGTTTGAATGTTAATTTAACATACTTTTACTTTATCATTTGCTTTGGCAACTCCTTGCCTCTGCAACCAAACCAACCCAAAACCTTTCAGAGATAATTAAAATTTGAATGTTAATTCACTAGATTACACTGCTTCAAGGTTACTATCAAGGATTGTCCAGAAACCACAGGATTTCATTAAATTATCAATGTAGCTGAAAACAACCAATGCTTAGTATGGTTAGTCTACTCTTAGCTAGTTGTTTGTTCTTGCTCTGTGGTTTTTTTTTGTTTGTTTGTTTGTTTGGTGGGGGTTTTTTTCATTTTTACAGTATAAGGAAGTCATACTCTGCAGTTGGAGGCATTTAAAAGAAATTTCATATTTGGTTATTTCAGCAAACTTTTTTCCTCTCTCCATATTTCTCTATCAGCAAACGTTTTTACTCTATAGAGAATTTGTTGTGTTGTTACACACTACAATTGAATCAACCAGTGGAATTTGTGTGAGGCAGCTGAGTATCACTCCAGAATTAGTTGTTGGAAAACAACATTAATTTTTCATGCTCTGTTACTGATTCTCAGTATAATAGGATCAGTCTTAAAATCATGTGCTTACATAAAAACAACTTAAAGAAAAATTGCACATAAAATAGCATACCCAAAGGAAAATACCAAACAGTTTGAATTTTAAGGAAAGAATAAACTGTACTGGTGTAAACTTCAGAATCAAACTCACTGAAATCTCCTGAAGGAAGACGAGGACAATCTAAAACTGTGCCTCTGCAGAGGAAACAGTTACTACAAGATTGGTGATTTTAATGGAAAAATATTGTGCTTACACTGTTGCAGAACACATCTATACTATTAGGAAATATGCAATACTGCATTTTAGATATAAGTTTTCAGATTCAGAGAAGCTAGTAAATATTTAAACCCTTGAGCCTTTACATTTCCTGCTTACATAATTAGCACAAGTGCTTTATTCACTGCTATGATGAACTGGGAGATCATGCTTGCCAAGGGTTTAAGAGATTTTCCACTCCTTAGGCCAATGCTGAGGAGCAATCCATAAATGTTAATTTGCCTGGGCTGTTCCTCAGGCTGCTATTTTTCCTTTATTGATGTTTTTCAACTTACTTGAAATGAAAAGCAAGCAGTGCTATGGTAGGGCTGTTGCCATGGCTACAGAGCAGCGTGAATAACGGAGGCGATAGTTATTTTGCTTCTAGTCTTGTCCCTTCTTATTACTTTTTTCTATTTCTAATTTCAGCTACCTACTGCAGGGGAAAAGAAGGCTTAAGTAAGTCTGATCCTTCAACAGAAATAATCTCCTGTGCACATCTCCCACTGAAAAAAATAATGTGCAAAAACTAAAGGATCAGTATCCAAGTTGAAAACCGCACACAGAAACTGCAATTTTAAGATCTGTGATATACAGAAAAGTAAAGTTGCAAGCAATCTTAATCACTGTGTTTACTTGAATGCAGGTCTTTTCCACAATTTTCTTTTTTCCAATATTTAACACACAGATATGAGTCCCAACCTTTTCATAGAGGCTACTTCAAATTCACAATTAAACTCGAATATAATTAAAAGCACTGATACATTTCTTTTCTAAGTATAATCCTATATAAATAACGGTACCCTAAGTACTGCAAGGATGTAGTGTCAGGGATGCGGTCATATCAGAGAAAACAGACTTACCTGAACACTGCTCCTCCCTGGCAATTATTATAGCTGTTCTGGCAGCTTCTCTGTATTGCTTTAGTGCCATGTATAAGCGGAATAGGTACTTGGCATCCTTAATTAAATCATACAAAAGCAATTAATACTCACTGAACACATACTGCTGCATTCCCTTTCTTTACTTGCCCACCCCACCGCCACATTCTTCAAAGAAAGCGGACAAGCTGGCTTGTTTCGTGAAAAGCTCTTTGTATCAACATGCTTTAGCTATGCTATGTTCCCCTGTAAGTTCTGGCCGTTAGGACAGTCAGATAAACACCCACCTTGAGGATCCTGACTGAGTTGTGGCAGTTAGCTGCCAAGCCCTGACTATAAGGACGGAAAAAGCTGCGGACCGTTAGGCACACAGAGAGACATACAGGTGGAAACCCAACAACTTCAGACGTGTACGCATTTATGGTGTCAGAAAAGAACCAAAAGACTCCTTTTAGAAATTGAAATCTTGCTAGAAATGCTTAAAGTATGTTACAGATCTAGATGCAAACATTGCTTAGTGTGGATAAGGATGACAAAACCTGGCCATTAAAGAGTGTACTGTTCTGGGACCTGATGGCAGACATCCAAGAGAGCGAAAAGAATTGAAAATTCAGCTAAAAAAATGCGTAAGATTTATAATTTGCTACACTACATACTGTTGATATATTACAGAATTCAAGAATGACAAATATAGCAAAGAGGTCGCCCAAGAACTGGCAATGAAACAGTTTAATTAAACATCGAGAAAATTAGTGAAATAATTTTAAAACAAAACTTTAAAAAACAAGATGGCAGTAGTGAAGAAAACAAACATGAGTTCCATTTTTTGAAGTGTACTCAAATTTCTAGCAGACTAGTTAAAAAAAAATCAACAAGAGAAAAGAGAACTGGTCTTTCATAAGGGTTTTGAGAAAATTCTCAAAAGAGGTCATTCCTAAAAATACAGCTAAAATATAAAATACAAAATCAAATGACCTTGCTTATAACGAAAACAAACTATTAAGTGAAAAAAACCTGGGCTAGTGCCACTCTTCTATATCTTTAGCAGTGATTTCTAAAATGGGATCAATAAAAAGTAAAGTCTGTACACGACAATCTATCTTTTAACTATTAAATCAAGATTAAATTAAGCTGAAATGAATCAGGAAAATCACTGGTAGCTTTATAGACAACTTAGTAAAAAACACAAACTAACTAATTCTGCAATATTATTAATAAAAACCAAACATTGACAGTGTGTATTTTATGTTAAAATGGTATAAAAGTTTCTTTAAAAAGAACTGTGTTAAACAATGTTGTGCTGTTCTCTGGAATACTGTGTGGTCTTTGTATGCAAATCTCAAAAACATAGCAAAAAAAAGCAGAAATTAAAAGGAAGAGAAATATGAAAGATAGAAAGATATTTCCTTATAAAGAAGATGACCTCAAAGATTAACTCCCTACTTGAGAGGCAAGAAAAAAAACCAGACGAAAAATCACAGAAATAAAAGCAAGAGAGAAAGACTGGCATACAGAAAGAAAAAAGGCAAGTCAAATTTTTCTTTTTAACTCGCAATATAATGAAAAACATTAAGTGACCAAAAGTAATTACTTTTAAACTAATGACGGAGCAGAATTTTAAGTAACACATGATCAAAAGGTCGACCAACAGAAGAACCATAGTTTAAAAATAATGAAATAGTTACCTGGATAATAAAGTAACCACAACTACTTATATTAGTGGATATTATTTATGCACTGTAAACTGCCTTAAAAAGAAAAATGCTGTTCCCTAAGTGAGATAAAACAAAAATTATTATGAATGGTAGGTTATGATGTAATTCTTCCCAACTTCTGACACCTCCTAATGACCACAGACAGCCATTCCACTGATGATAGCAGAAGGCTGCACTTCTTCCCCTTCCAGGCTGCTTCTCTCTCTCCTCCAGCAGGAGAAGGATCCTGTCCCAGCACAAACCAGTGGTCTTACATGGTATTTGCCATGTCCTAATTATATTTTACTTAAACAATATATTTCAATGACTTACATGGCAGCCGTATGTAGAAAAAATATAAAAGTAGAAGGCATTTAAGAAAAATTAGTCTCATGTTTTACTTTCATATTCTTACCTTTCAAGTTAGCCATTTTAAAAACAAAAAATGCAGGAAGGAATTTTCAACTGACAACACGTTTCCTAAAGTCTTTGGAAAAACTTATTATTGCAATCTAACTGATCTCAATATTAGACAGCCATGATTTTAATTTAGTTTTGCTTTTAAAACACATGTAACTTAGAAAATATGCACACAGAAAACAGCAGAACCTTGCTAGTTAATGCTCTCTGAAAAATTACAAAAGAACACACATGACCAATTAAGAATCTTTACATGTTAAAGTTAACAAATACAATAGTTGACATATTAACACATTTAAGAAATAGTTTATCATTAGTCAGACAATAGTGTAGCAAAATTTTGGTAAGCATAATAATTTTGGTAATATGGTACCTCATTAAAATCCCACGTAATTGTTGGCTGCGAAAGATTTAAAGCAATCAGGCTGCTGTGAGCGATGATCTGGTTTGAAGATCAATGCTTGAAAGGATTAGCAAGTTTCTGCTGCATGGCTACTTTAAGTTCACTTTTACTTTCAGCTTTACAAAAATACCACCACATAAAAGCTGCTATTCTCTAAAAACAACCCCATTTGCTTGACAATTTCAAAAACACTGTCTCCATAGCATAATAAGGATAAAGATGAATTGTTTTTTAAGTAGATTTTTAAAACAAATATGTATGATTTAAAACAAATATGTATAAACTTTTGTTACTCACTGAGAGAGACTATGGCAGATTGGATTAAAGCATTCAGAAGAACAAGAGAGAGCTTTTAAACAAGGAAAAGAAAGCCCTACATTGAAGTTCAAAACAATGTTAAATATGGCAATTACAGCATTCACAAAATTCCTAAGTGTTTTCTAAAATCTTCAGAACCTCTTCACTAGGGAGATCATACTGTAGCTCACTTCCCTTATCCAGTCCCATGCACTTCTTTCAACCAGATGGCTAGGCTGCCGCTCTTAGAAAAGAGACCGGATGCTACAGTTTCTGTCCACTCAACTTTCAGCATAAATACGAAATTATTTTTGCTCTCACTGATGCTGCACAGATTTTTCATCTAATGCCTCCAATAGCTTAATTCTCTTCCGGTCTCTTGCAGCTGAATTTTGTTTGTTTCACTATGTTTTGCTTCTCTCATAATTTTATTAATGTTCACATTTCAAATTACAGGTAAATAATAAGAGGTAAATAATAATAGCCATTAGGCTATGATTAATGGGATGAAATTTAACAAGTCGAAATGCTGGATTCTGCACCTAAGACGGAGTAATGCCGGGCACAAGTATGAATTGGGAGAGGAGTGGCTGGAGAGCAGCCCTGCAGAAAGGGATCCGGGGCTGCTGGTTGATAGCAGGCTCAATATGAGTCAGCAGTGTGCCCTGGCAGCCAAGAGGGCAACCAGCATCCTGGGGTGCATCAAACACAGCATAACCAGCCGGTCAAAAGAAGTGATCATCCCGCTGTGTTCAGCATTGGTGCAGCCTCACCTTGAACACTGTGTGCAGTTCTGGGCCCCACAATTTAAGAAGGATGTGAAGGTACTCAAGTGCATCCAGAGGAGGGCAACAAAGCTGGTGAAAGGGCTGGAAGGCATGTCCTGTGAGGAGCGGCTAAGGACTTTGGGCTTGTCTAATTTGGAGAAAAGGAGGCTGAGGGGTGACCTCATTGCTCTCTACAGCTTCCCGAGGAGGGGAAATGGAGAGGGAGGTGCTGATCTCTTCTCCCTGGTATCCAGTGACAGGACGCGTGGGAATGGTTCAAAGCTGCACCAGGGGAGGTTCAGACTTGACATTAGGACACATTTGTGTACCAAGAGGGTGGTCAAACACTGGAATGGGCTTCCTAGAGAGGTGGTTGATGCCCTAAACCTGTCAGTGTTTAAGAGGCATTTGGACAATGCCCTTAACAACATGCTTTAACTTTTGGTCAGCCCTGAATTGGTCAGGCAGTTGGACCAGATGATCATTGTAGGTCCCTTCCAACTGAAATAGTCTATTCCATTCTATTCTATAAAGAGATAGAGGGGGTTTGGTTTTTTTTAAAATTTTATAAAAGCAAGGTTGGTTTGGCCATCAACTGTCCAGTGTCTCTAAAAGTCTAAAATATCAAACCCTTAATCTCTAGGCACCATACAAAGAGGAAAGAGCCAGAATTTCTAATCTCACAACAGAATCATAAACCACAGCTGTAGTATTAGTGATGAAATAAACTTACTGCACCAAGACCATGTCATCTCCATCGTTACCAAACCTTACTCCCCTCAGTAAAGCAGAACTTATTCTTCCATACATATCATTTTGCACTTGACTGTATTTACTGTGAGTTTGTATGAGACCTTAAATTCCCTGATGAAGGAATTAATTGCAGACTGTAATGTCCTGAGGTCTGGCTTTCACAGAAGAAAAACATGGGTGCAGCACCACTTAGCTCACATTCAAGCTCTGCTGTAACAGGCAGTAAAACTTGAAGCGGCTCAGCCACTTGCATGAACTCAAGCCCAGATAGATTGAATGTACCATAAGCTCTATGGACATCAAAGCCAAAAACGGACTGTGAAGCCTGTTTTTCTATAGCTCGAACTCAGAGAAACCAGATAGCCCATCAGCAGTCACTCTACAAAAGAGTTGTTTGTCATCCTAACCTCAAGTGCTGCTGTTCTGATGTCTAACGTGATATTTACAATGGACATTTTTAATCTGTCCTGGGAAAAAAAAAAATCATTCCACGGGATATGGTCAAAATCTTGTATTGTATATATAGCACAGATATAATCTATGTTCTGCTTAGTTTGTGAACAATCCTCTTCCTTTATTACCAAACCTATGGCATTGGCAACTAATACACAAAAATCTGTCAGCAAGTATCTTCCAACTCCCAAATCCGTATATACAAAAGAGAAAAAGATGAAATAGTCTACCAGCCTGCCAAAAGCCTTTTATTACACCCAGTGAATAACACCCACCTTTTAACAAAGGAGCAGGAAACCCGTACGAAAGGGCAATGGCCCTTTCAAAATTTTATTAATTGATCACACGACATTAAAGGCAGCCTCATAGCACAGAGCACCTCTTATCTCACAAAGCACCTCCTAAACAGTATAAAATAAAAATATGTAAGGTTCTAAGGATCCAAAGAGGATTTTTTACGACAATGATGAGTGACAATGTAAAAATCAGTGTCCGCAGTATTTTATTCTCCTATTGTTAATCAAAACTTCCACGTTAGGAAGGTCTGTTACCAAAAATCTTCAAATGTGCTTCCTGTTGTCTTATTTTCTATCATAAATTAAACATGTAATTCCATCCTCCAACACAGAACAGAAACTGTGTTTTAGTTTACAGAACTACAGCCTATATCCACGGATGAAACTGACTCTATGAATAATCAATTCAAACTTTAAACTAAATATTTCTACATAATAAGAAATCAAAAAAGAAAGATTTTTTTTTTAAAATAAGGTTTAACTGCCATATGGGCATCCACACGAAGCAGTTACATTTTCAAGTGAACGCAGTGCCAAATTTTTCCCTTCATTTCACATTTTAAAACAGAGTTGTTTTGGGCTAAGCTCTTTTTAAAAACATGGTCATTAATCACTTAAGAAATCAACAAGGAGATGGGTAATTTTGAAAATCTGTCAACAACTTTTTATGTCTTAAGTTGATGCGTGAATACAGGAACTAATGTAGCCTGATCTTCTTTGGGTTTTTGTCCTTTATCTCCTATTTACTACCTTACTTTCTTCCACTGCAACAGTTAGACCAACTCCCCTCACTGCAAGAAGAGATCAGTGCTGTAGCTAGTCTTGAGACACACACATGCTGACCGTCCATCTGGGAAAGGCAACAGCCAGCTGGCTAACTGGCATGAACAAACAGCTAAGTTTTGTCTCTTTCACTCAGTATGAGCATTAATTTGAATCTCCTCTGTCCAACTACCTGCCTTCATAAAGCTTGGAGAAAGATGATTATACCTAAGATAGTTACTTCCTTTCTTATCTTTCTGAAACTGAAGTTACTGGGTGAGTGACTCAGAGAGTGATCATGCAAGTCTCGCTCCTTAATGAAACCAAGCTAAAACACAATCTGTGTCTACCAAAAATTTTAGGACAAAGTAAGCTCAAAAGATCTTGTAGCACAGCAATGTGACACAATAGCAGTGATAAAAATACAATACCTTCGGCATGCCATCACTCTCTCCCATAAGATAGTCTATCAGCTGATTTGTAAGGGATTCATCTTTTGCCCGTCCCACCTATTAAATAAAGACAGAAGAAATTGTGATATGAAAGAGAACGGAAAAATACTTACTCATAAGGAGGATTTCCGTAAAAACACTGAAGCTAGATAGATTTAAAACATGATTCTTTTTAGTTCTGTGTGTTCAAACCAGATGATTACTTGGTTCATTAGCTTTGACATACAGTAGTTCATATTTATTTTCTAATGTGTTAAGTCAGGGGATTATAACTAAATAGGTCTCTACCAGCATGAACTGTTCTTCTGCTTCAGTGCTGGGAAGGCATCTGAATCTAGGGACCATGAGCTGAAGCCTGCTGTCACAAAGCTATGTCTATCAACCCAGCACAATTTGTGTCTCAGAGGAATATTCAGTGCTGGTCACTAGAATAGAGCCAGCACTATCTGGCCAGTTGAAGAGACAGTCTCAAAAATATGGCTGAGATGTTGAGATTCCACAAGGATATATATGGTACAACTGCAGCAATAGTCTTTGGGCTATTTCATAGCCTTTGGTTTATTCATTTGGGCTGAAACATCTGGATCCAGAGGAAAGCATTAGACACCTCAAACTTCAGACTTACAAGCCCTGCCAACAGCTCTGTGAGATGGAAGGAAGGAAGGCCTCAAGAGCAGCTGCGCTAGCTCTAGGCAGAGTCAGGTCTACTGTTTAAGGGTCTGAAAAAACTCTAGTGATACCTAACAAGATTTTCAAAGCTGTGGGTTCTTCAAGGGAACAGAGGAAGTCTGAGCATGGTTTGGATGACAGGAAGAGACAGTTGCAGTGGATGCTTAGATGGAAGCTGGCAATGGGCCTGCTTAGGCAGGTTTCCAGCATTTATGGTCTAGAAGGGAATCTCAAGGTTCACATGTACTGAGGTGCAGCATGAGCTGGAGACCTGATAACTACAGCATTTTGGATATCATAAGCAAAATAACTAAGGAAAGATTGCTTCATCTCAAATTTCTTCTTTTTTTAGGGATGGAAAAGAGATTTTTAGAGATAATAAGGATGAAAACCAAAAGGTGTTAGTAAGATTGATGCTGCAATTGGTCTTCTGTCTGATAGTGGAAGCTGAGAGCAGTGAGCAGTGGATATTGTCCACCTTGACTTCAGAAAGGCTTTTGACACTGTCTCCCATAACATCCTCATAGAGAAGCTGATGAACTATGGGCTGGATGAGCAGACAGTGAGGTGGACTGAAAACTGGCTGAATGGCCAGGCCCAGAGGGTGGTGATCAATAATACAAAGTCTAGTCGAAGACCAGTAACTAGCAGTGTACCCCAGGGGTCAATATTGGGTCCAATCTCATCTGGATGATGGATGGGGCAGAGTGCACCCTTAGCAAGCTTGCTGATGATATAAAACTGGGTGGAGTGGCTGATACACTAGAGGGCTGTGCTGCCATCCAAAGGGTGCTTGACAAGCTGGAGAAATGAGCTGACAGGAACCTCATGAAGTTCAACAAAAGGAAGTGCAATATCCTGCACCTGGGGAGGAACAATCCCATGTGCCAGTACATGCTGGGGGCCACCCACCTGGAAAGCAGCTTTGCAGAAGAGGACCTGGGGGTCATCAAGTTTAATGTGAGTCACCAATCTGCCCTTGCAGCAAAGAAGGATAATGGTATCCTGGGCTGCATTAGGAGGAGTGTTGCCAGCAAGGTGAGGCAGGTGATCGTTCCCCTCTACTCGAGGTGAGGCCACACCTGGAGTACTGCGTCCAGTTCTGGGCTCCTCAGTACAAGAGAGAGATGGACATACTGGACAGAGTCCAGCAAAGGGCCACTAAGATCATGAAGTGCCTGAAGTATCTCTCATGAGGAAAGGCTGAGAATGCTGGGACTGTTGAGGCTGGAGATGAGAAGGCTCGGGGGGAATCTTGTCAATTATAAAAATACTTGAAGCAACACCCCCATGCACCAGTACATGCTGGGGGCCGCCTGGCTGGAAAGCAGCTTTGCAGAAAAGGCCCTGCGAGGCTCCTGGTGGACACCAGGTTGAACATGAGCCAGCAGTGCGTCCCTGGTGCAAAGAAGGCAAATGGTGTCCTGGGCTGCATTAGGCAAAGTATTGCCAGCAGGTCGAGGGAGGTGATCCTTCCCCTTTATTCAGCACTGGTGAGGCCACACCTGGAGTACTGCGTCCAGTTCTGGGCTCCTCAGTACAAGAGAGAGATGGACATACTGGACAGAGTCCAGCAAAGGGCCACTAAGATCATGAAGTGCCTGAAGTATCTCTCATGAGGAAAGGCTGAGAATGCTGGGACTGTTGAGGCTGGAGATGAGAAGGCTCGGGGGGAATCTTGTCAATTATAAAAATACTTGAAGGGAGCGCGCAAAGAGGAAGAAGCCAGGCTCTCTTTACTGGTGCCCAGTGACAAGACCAGAGGCAACAGGCACCAGCTGAAACACAGGAGGTTCCATCCGAACATCATGAAACACTTTTTCACTGTGAGGGTGACCAAGCACTGGCACAGGTTGCCCAGAGAGGTTGGAGAGTCTGCCTCCTAGGAGATATTCAAAAGCCATCTGCACATCATCCCGGGCAACCGGCTCAAGGAGGGCCACCTAGATCAAATGGCCTGCAGACGTTGCTTCCAATCTCAACCATTCTGTGATTCTGTGACAGTGAATGGAGGCATATTGACCTCTCTAATCATAGTGTGCAGACTGGAAAAATCAGCAAAACTGAAAAACCGTATATGGATATTGCTAAAAAAGAAAATTCCAAACTCAGGTACCTGTCTCTGACACGCAACCACAAAAATCTGAATGAATTCATAAACCCTCCTTTGAAGACTGAAAACATATTTCCCTCTGGTGTCAGTATTAACTTATTCTACTTTTTTAATGTTTAGGTATCACCTTTACTGATACAGTTTCCTTCTACTTGCAATCTGTCCAAACACACTCACTGACGCTAGGAAAATGTCACAATACTGAAGGTAAACTTCTTGAAAAGACAAAGAATTTTTTGTTTTATCAAAGTTGCTTACTGTTTCAATTGCCATTTCTATAGCCAAGTTATCTTCTGTGCTTGGACTTTTCATAAAGTGCTTTAATGCCTAAAATGATACAAAATAGAAGTTAAAACTGAGACACACGAAATTAACATTTTCCTAATTTTTATCAAGTTATTTCTCCCTGCATTTTGACAGACAAGTGGCACGCTGAATGCTTATCTTGACTGTATTTTACAGCCATAAGGATAACCACATACACTACAGAGGTAGCAGCTGCTCTTACAGATACTCCTGCAAGAAAGAAGAGTTGAGTCTTTGCGCAAATTCTGGTGTATACCTTCATCTCACAGCAATATGGTGAGAAGAAATTAATAATTAACATACCATTGGAGCTCCCCTATGCCCCAGCTGAAGGAGTGGTCACCTACAATGGCTGTAATTTGCAAAAATCAGTAATATTTTTTTGGTATGTCTTCAGTATGCAAAAGACAAACATTTAATAAGCGTCAGTTCACTGATTGTAACTGATCAAAAGGAAGTGTATCAATCGACATACTTCAATTAACATATTTCTTTTTTTAAAAAAAGCTTTAATTTGGGGCATGCTACAGTATTAAATGAATTAATTAATCAGCAACCAAGTCTTCATTGGTCAAGCTAAAAAAATATAAATAAATTCTATTTCTATGTTCATGACATTTAGAGATTCATTGAGAATAGTATATAATTGATCCACGTGGAGCCTCTACTGCTATGAAAATGTTATGTGCATGGCAGTGTATAATTCACAGAATACTATGTAGATAATTGTAAATATAAATAGTTTATTTATGTTTTTTACACTTTTAAAAAATATCAGTATGTCATCAGTTAAGGCAGCTCAAGTCTATTAGGAACATCCCTGATTTTGAAGTACTGTATTTTGAACAGTTTCTATGAACGTTTAACTATCACTGTTTTATCCTTTAAGCACTGACCCGTCCATATTGACCACACAGCAAGAAAAATTTTCCCGCCTGAAAATGTTTCTTTTCTCCTTCAAAATATAGTGCGATACTCTGATAATCTTCATTGGTAGTACTTTCAGAACCTGCAATAGATAGATAGCAATGATAGCAGAGTATTCTTATTAAGTAAGATAAAGGCCCTACTGAAGGAACAAATTCCTATTCTACGTTCTTTTTTCCACTGACATTCAAAGAAAACCAAAGCCAGCTAGACTCAGATTATGTCTTATATCTTTTTCCTATTTAATCAGACTAAATGTCAGACATTAGGAGCTAATAATGCAGTGAAATAATTGTTTCCATAGGTTTTACACCATAACGGGATTTCTATTTTTTTAACAGACGTAATAAAATGGCGTAACTATGACCTACTAATGAATTTTTCCATTACGTCTTGGCAACAGCAAGACAGAGCAAGTGATTATGAGATTATCACCTGAATTATTTTCACAGTTTAAGAATATCTGAGTATATCTGTATCGCACAGAGCAAAACTATCAGGACCAATGTAACCATGTGGTAGCAGGGAATACTACTTAGTCTTCTAACCAAGACTCCATTTTACTGTACACATCTAAAACAAAGACAGCCACTACCCCAAAGGTAGTTTTAAACCCTTTTTCCACCCACTTAGATTACAATTTGAGACATCCTATTTTGGATAGGAGAGAAGGAAGAAAGCATATGGAACAGTAGAACAATAGAGGCCACCTCGACAAGCAGCTGCAACAGTACACACCAAGCTAGCTGTTGTCACGTTATTATAACCTTCGTAACAAGAATACATTTTTTAAAGGAAGAGATTAATTGAAAACATGAGATAATTTGGTAGATACGTATGTGGAACTGTTTCCACAGAGAATGGTGCCTGACACAGGTGAAAAATACAGAATTTATTTGCAAATTGACAAGCCGGCCACTGACCGACTTGATGGCCTGAGGTGGTAAAAGTCGGCTTCTCAGTAAGGTCTCCTTTTGTCTCTCACTGAGACAAGAGGAGGCCATGAAGGGCCTTAAAGGGAAAAAAAGGAAAGACAAGTGACATATGCATATAAGAAAAGAGCTGGAACCATGAAAAAAGGAAAAGAGGGGATAAAAATCAGGAAACAAAACTTCACACCGCTTGTCTTATGATTTCAAATTGCTCTAAACCAATTAAAAGAATAGCAAAACATACTGCAAGCAAACTATTAACCTGGAATACTCACTGATGATATCAGCATAAATCTCCATCTTGTTGTGTTGTTGAGCTAACGTGAAAGCTTCATTATTGCACTTGGACATGACTAGGAACTGGATGGCAGAACCATAGTCACCAAGCTGCAGAAAGAATCTAATCAGAATGAAAAAATTAATACCTTAGTACTAATGAGCATAATGAAGACACCAAATGTTTTAGGAATACAGTATATTTTGTGGCATACAAATAGGATACATTTCTAATTTATTTTATATCTCGATTATTTTAAATAGGTTACTAAAATTAACTTAGTATAAATAATACAGCATGGCAACTTTTATTATTGTCTAAACTTACTACTTCAGGTTAATATAATTTCAATCAGAAAGTTAAAAAAAGGAAAAAAATCAGTATCTGCTTAGCTGTACAAATTTTAAAGAACTCAAATCAATAAACTGAAATACATAGTCACTGGCCAAGTACCAATAACCAGAGTCTGATACATTAGCAAGCCTCACCAACTTCCAATAGGTATGGCCTCTTTCACCCTTTTTTTTTTAACCTGTGTAATATGATTGTTACCTGGCCACCATCTTTGCTCCATCAAGAGACTGTGTTTCTCTCACAATATTAACAGCCTTTTCAGGATTGTTAAGGTGATCCAAATACAGTCGAATTACACTGTCCCATTGTTTTGCATGCTCGTAAGCTATCACAGCTTCCTTGTACCTGCAAAATAATGATTCCACATCAGTTTTTCTAACTTTTAAATAACTCTTTACAATACACTGTGAAAGAAACATACAGTATTTTATTTCTGAGAGGTTACTCTGTGACACCTTCCTTTGAGTTTGCATATAATAGCCTTGTTCTGCATTTACTGTTTTTTTTTTTTCTCTATTTCATTTTCTCTTGGCAGAATGAAAGGCAGAGGCAACAGAAAAATGTCTACCACAGTACTATTTTTAACCTACACTGCCAGCACCCCTTTTGGTATATCTTAAAAGCGGTTCATCTGTTCCATCAGCAAACATCACCTGTTCTGTCAGTTCCATATGAAATCACTTGGGAAGGAGAGAACAATAAAAAACAAGCAAATGATAACTAGTTGTACGATTTTAAAAATGAGACTTCTTTTCTGTTCTGTAAACAAGATCAAGAAATTTCTCATTCTCACACTATGCAATTGACACAATTAGTATTTTCTAGTCTCATCAATGCAAACATTTAGCTTTGGTGCTGTTTCATATTATAAAGTGTCATTATTCTGAAGCACATTTACTTACAGGTAAGGACTAGTAGAAAATACATTCTGTGATTAAATATAACCTATTTTGAGCTTTCATTTCAGCCAATAATTTCACATTATTCAATATTTTGCAAATGCAGCCATTAAGATGTAACAGTAATTTGGTTCTAGAATGAAAAATTTTCTTTTATGATTATTCCCCCTTTGAATGACCTTTAAAAATCACAGCTAAGGAGTTGTTAGAAACAAACCGAACTTCAGTACTCTGCTAAGTGGAATATTGCATTGGGTGCAATACTTTAAAACCTTTAATGATTTTTGTTAAAAAGATATTGATGCTTAGACAGGAAAACAATCAATTAGAAACACATCTCTGATATTAGTGGAAGGTCCTTAGATTATGTTTAAAATCTTTACACAACATCTTAAGTTTACATATTTCAGAATCTATTTTCACAAGGCTATTTTATGCAAAACTTAAAGTCTGTCTTTTAATTTATTTTACAGAAAGAGTAATGTATAATAATAATAACAACAATAACAGCAACAATAACAACACGTTTTATAAAAAAAGATAAGCATTCAAACGCACCTGCCATCTGCTTCTTTGGCCTTTGCATATTGTAGGTGAATCTTTGGAGATGAAACATGAGGAAGAAGTTCACCAACCTTTGCCCTAAAAAGACAAGATAACAGTTATTTAATAAATATATCTGGTTTCAAATTTTCTCCAGTAAAACAGGCATATTTAAATCAACACTGAAAAGGATGCTAAAAAAGAAGTAATTGAACATAATGTATAAGGTTTGAAGGCATTTCAATGTTTTCAAAAAGCTGCACTTTATAGATGTAAGAACTGGAAATGATAGACTGCTTCATGAACATACAGGCCTAAAGAAGGACAGTATCTTCTCTTTTTTAAGCTTGAGATGTATGAGCATAAGAGGTGCCAGACCAACAATTTTTACCTCCGGTATTCTCTAATTAATCTACAGAAGAAGCACAGAATTAAAACTGTAATCTGAAAGAACGTGCAAAAGAGTACAAAAGACTACCAGCACCAATGCAGTTGTGATTACTCCCATGATTGTGTGCTTAAGGCCAAGGTTGTACGGAGGACTCCAGGCAATTAGAACCAGATTCTCTGAGTGACAACATCCATAACAGCAGCGTGGAGGAACACTGAACTATGTCAGTCCTTCCATAAATCTAGCTTCAGGAATTGCACACAGTGATATCATCTATAAAAGCCAGCAAACTAAGCAGTGGGCCTTTCAAGACAAAGAATACAAGAGACTGAAGAGAGGCTGACGTCAAATCTCACCTCTCTGCCTATAAGACAGAGCACTCCCCAAACTGAACCTCCTTACAATCATAGAATCGTTCAGGTTGGAAAAGACCTTTAAGATCATCAAGTCCAACCAATCAAGTCCTTCTGCTAGAGTAAACAAAGCTTGTACCTCCCACTTTCCAATTCAAGGCTATCATTATATGCAAGCTATCCTACTTAACAAGTGTTCTCTGGTCCATTCTGATGCCACTGACACTTCTATGATGGAATAAAATTTTCCTTAGTAAATGAACATAATATTCCAATCTAATTTTTAGAGCACTCGTATGAGAGAGGAGGGGTCTTTTTGATCTCTGTTCCAATCAGTTCTTAATATTAGAAGTCCATAAAACGTAATCAGGCAAGAATTAAGCCCTTAAACCTCTCAGTAATCTGTACTTTTCCACTGGAAACCTGACAATAATCAAATTAATTTAAAAAAAATTAAAAATGTATTGAACATAATGCCAGTGATTTTGACTACTCGTGATACAGACTCCACTTGAACCAGCAACTTAGAATCATTTTCAATTGTCTGAATATTCAGTCTCAGCTATGTATGTTATAACTGAAGAAATTTAATGAACTAAACAGTAACTACATGAATAAAATTACTAAATTCAGTGCACATGCACACACACACAAAGGACTTGAAACTGCAGGTAACTTTAAACATAACACAAAAAAAGAAAAAAGGAAGATTATCTCCCATTTACAGTAAGACTATATTTAAAACAACATAAGCTTCTGAAAGAATACTGTTCTTGTTTAAGCTTGGGGGAGGGAACAATAAAATCAATGAAACATAATTAATGAGACATTTGTTCTATTCAGAGAATCGTTCCTTTCCAAAGAGCACCAGAGCAAGTCCTCCGAAATGTAACACTTCCCTAAAACTTGTACTTACCAGTTTTTACACCGGATGTATACTGATGCTGCCTTGTCATAATATTGTCCCTTTTCATACAGCTGAGCAGCTTCTGAAAATTGCTACAATATTGGAAATCATTAAAATATAATTTCTAAATTAAGATTACAAATAAATAAATAGCTTAATGAATTCACATATTCAGCCTTAGCTTTATTAACTCTTTTGAATACCTTCATACTCTCCAGAATAGCTCCACAGTCTCTTTTTAGTGACCTACTGGGATGTTTAATGGCCTGGTTTACCCCTCGACGGATATCTCCCATTCGAATGGACATTTGAGCCACACCAGCAAGGCAAGCTTCATCATGTTCCTGGTACTGGCAATCAAATGAAAAGCAATAACTATACATTATACATCAGAAGTATCAGGTCACAAGAGCTACAGTAACCAAGCACTGAAACAAATTAACAAAACATTACATGGACTTAGTTAAATCAATTTGTCTCAAAATTTTTGCCTCAAAATTTTTGCCTAGCTGCAGCTGTCACTGATTTATTTAGAAGAACTCAGCTTAGTTTTCTTCTTAAGATTTGTCTTTAATTTTTACATATTACTCACAAGATCTGTCCTGACCAAGCATACATGAAAAGAATCTATTTTACAGACAGCTCAGTACTACTCTCCTCTTTCCTCCAAAACCAACATTAGAGAAAAAGAGAAACTACAAGCAGAATATTTCCTTTATTTTTTTTTGTTAAAGGTGGTAAGGCCACTGATGTTTCATAAAGCCAAGTGGCTTGAATTTAGAAAACATTGCTATTTCCATTATTATGTTCCCCTATTATCATTTAAGCTGCTTCATAATAGACATTTGGCAAATATTAGGGGAAATAATGCCAGAATAAGGGAAGATCTACTGAAGATGATGTTTATTTTCTAACACATCTTTGCTTGTCTTTATATAGATAACAATTCAGTAAAGAAGAACAGAAGGAATAATTAGGACTTTTGTTATAACAATGAAAATCCTAGCAACGCTTTCTCTGACATTTGCATGCCTATTATGAAACCGCTCAAATTCTAAAAACCTAAGTCTAGTTATGCCATGTTAATACAACGGCAATACTGCTTTATACCTAGAGAAAGCATCGTTCTGTATATTAAAAATAAGAGAAGTGCAAAGACTACTTCCCAAAAGCAACAGTCAAATAGACTTAGAGCTGAATAAAAAAAAATCTGAATTCAAATGAGTCTGAAACATGACAATTTAATGAGTAGTATGATAGTACAAATGCTATCATTACTAAAAAGGAATTACCTTATTGTTTCCAGTGATTCCCTTCTCATAATGTGCCAGAGCATTAATATAATCACCCCTAAAAGAAAACTGAAAGTTATATGGAAGAATATTTTTAATAGTAAGAGACAGTTACCTTCCTGCCACGCAGATTATGCATGTATCTGTCTTGCTTTAGACATAACGACTCCATACAAGGATGCGAAGTATGCAAAAGACAGACAGTTACACAGTATGTCATGGCACTTCCCAAGCGCTTTATCAAGCTATTAGCCAGAGGCAGTCCATCCCTCGATTCCGTTATACTGAGACCCATAAACCTCCCTTGAAAGACAGGCAAAGAATCTATCTGCACAATACACCTCAATAATCTCATCTCTACTTCCACATTTTTCTGGAAGATAAATGAAACTAACCTTCTAGAATTATTTAGAATTTTTGCAACATAAAAACGAAGGCAATTTTTTTCCATAAGTACCTTCAGAACTCAAGTTACAGATGGTTACATTGCTTCAACTGCCTCCATTCCTTCCTTTCTGTGACCAATAAGTGTCCTCTCTCACTGCCAGAGGCACTGCCAGGGGGAAGGAGTTGTCTAAAAACTCTATTAATAGATAAGAGTTTTTCCTCTTGGTCATTAAACAGACGGTTTCATCTGGGAAGAATTAGCTATAAATTGACTTCAAATTAGCTATAAATAGACTTCAAAATCATGGCAAATGGTTAATACCTTCTCCCTTTCAGGAACTCTCAGCCTTGAAATTCGACACTCCTCTACCTAAAATATGTAAGAAAATGAAGGCTACTGGATATTTAAGGAAAGACAGGCAAAAGGCAAGGCTTTCGTCCATTTAAGAAGTGTTAAATGGTGTGAACTTTCTTTATTTTCCAAGCACTTGCCTGCAACAACGGATTTATTTAGTAGATGATATTATTATATAGTGGATCTACCAGTTGCAAAGAACGCAGATATACTGAAATTAATCAAAAGTAACTACTATTTGCTAACATATGTCTCTAGCATGAAGTATTCCTTACTCTTCCTCATACTATAGCTGCAAGACCTCACAGAATCCTCTCTCAGAAATGTAGTTAGCTGAAGTATCTCAATTCTACGTTCTTCTAGTGAGCATGAGTATTGGTTTAATATTCTTACATTGCAAGTTTACAGGAGAACTTACGTGAATTCCAGCTGCATTGCATATTCCTTTGATATGAAAGGGATTTGGTCTGGGGCCAAACGCTTAGCCAGCTGAAGTGCACTGTCCCAGTGTTGCAAGTCTTTTCGCATCTATTAACAAAGAACAGTAACATTTTCTGATGCAAGTATCAAATTCTGAATTCTAATATGAACTTTATATTATTCTAAATACAAATATAGAGCTAGTATTCTAGAAAGATTCAGACAATTTGAAAGACATTCATCCTAAAAGAACGTCTGTCAGTCACACAATGGCGAGAACAAAACCATAAAAGGACAGAATTATCAGAAGGTAAAATATTCCAACATTAAGGTGGAGATGAAAACAGCAGAAAAAAATTTACACATCTTAAATTAATACCTCAAGTGCAGCAATAGGACAGGAGGATGCCAGATATAAATCCTGAGCCAGATTAAAATCACTAGTAAACATGGCAAGATGTCCTGCTAAAAGGTTGTGGTCTTCTATTCCCTGTAAAAAGACATAATAGGTGCAAAAGTAATCCAAAAGAAAAAAAATATTGTTATAAGTAACATAATCTAGTAAGCACAGTAAAACAAAATATCCTTACATTTTACAACCATGTGTATCGGATTCTACAAACCAGAAAAAGCCCTCACTTTCTTATTGTAACTCAAAGCCACTACAGCTAACACTGTCTAAAATCAGCAACTTGCAGAAGTATATAAGGTACTATTTCATGCACACTTTTAGATGTATAATTGCAATCTGTTTTTTTTTTTTTTAAATAATAATAGTGGCCTTAAACATTTTCTCACAAATAACACAGGAAAAAAGAGCCTCCAAATGCCCGAGACATGAATATATTCTGCTGCTCTCAAGCAAATGCAGAAAGGAATGTTGTGCATTCCAGTAGAGACTGCAACCACTTCAAGAGAAAACCAAGCAAGAGTTATGTGGTTTGGACACTTTCTCCTCTATAACTATTAACTCCTTTGAAAATAATTCACCTTCTATTTAAAAAAAAAAAAAAACAAAATCCCCACAAAAATAAGAATTCAGCAATTCTTAACGAAGAATTGAATCACCATATTTCCTATTTAAAAGGGACTTTACATTTTACCTTTATTTTCTCTAGTGACATCACCATCCCAGCATTACCAAATGTCCGATAAACACGTATTGCAAAATCCACCTCCATATGATGTAAGCAAGCTTTGGCCAGCTCATTCCAACCAGACTGGTCATTCAGAAGTCTGCACACCTCCCATGCTTCAGAAAACCTATAGAAGGTAAAACACATTTAAAACTCCTGTTATTCGTACCTAAAATTCCCTCTCAACACTTTTTTCCCCTAATACTACAGTAGGGAAAACATAAAAAGCATTTACTTCTAAGCCATGGAGAGAGAGATGTGTCAGGAAGAAAGGAGAAATACAAATGCATAACTTACAGTTCTGTTTCTCCTGTTTCTATCACACTTTTTCAGGAAACCTTACTCTGGCATTCTTTCCCTTAAACTGATTTTGCATTCCTTCATTACAGTGGAAGGGGAGTATGCAAGAAGCACCTTCAGCCAGTTTTGGAAGAGCCACTGTCATAGAACCCCGAATCAGTCTTGAAAAAAAATAACTTTAGCTTTTACTTGACAGTGGAAAAACAAATAAAGCACCACTGGGTCACTTATTTTGCTTGGTCTGCATAGACAGCTACATGGACTCATGGATCAATCTAATTTATCAATATTCAGCATGACATTTTTAAATCACCAGGATATGCTGTATTGAGCTATAAGCACAGAAGAAAACAATTTACACAATATAATTAAAACACAGATGTACCTTTTCAACATTAAAGTCTGAGTAAGCATTTGTGTCAGTTCATTAGGTCCAAGGTCTTTCAAATTGCCAAGGAAACTGTGAGTGCTTAGATAGATATTGTTTGTTTTCCCACTCTGAGTCTGACAAGTTAATTCTCCATTATACAACAACAAAGGTTTATGGGAAAAGGGGACTTCTGTGGCACCTGCCAAAATAATCTTTGATCCTAAATTCAAAGATCAGGAAGAAAAGAAGACATAATTTTAAAAATTCCTACATGGTAAAAAGTGTAGCAAGCAGTCACAGCTGAAATAATGTAGATTTGCAGGGCATTAAATCAAGGTCTCTAATTCTGGTAGTCACCATCTACGACAGCGCATATTTTTCAGAAAGGTAAATATACATAACTTAAATCTTCTAAACTAGTAAGGTCATTTTCCAAATGTTTGTAAGTAAATTTCTTAACGTTTCTCTGTCACAAATACAGAAATTGCTATGACTACAATTTTGGTTAACAGTGTAAGTGAATACAAGTTTTGTCACCCTGATCCTAAGATTTTCTCATGAACATTTCAAAATACAATTGAAGCACAACGTGTAAATTTCAGACGAAAGATTGTAATAGCAAGAAGCTTAAGGAGTGAACACCAAAATGCCTTGTTGGAGCTTTACAGAGAAACCTACAAAGCAACTAGTTTTCTATTCATCAGCTGCACTCCAAAACTTCTGTAGTACTATTTTATATGCAGTTATGAAAATATTTAAGACAAATGAAGACTCAGAACATGTTTTACTTTATTAACTAAAATAGTGAATAAGTTTTTAAAAGCATTTACAGTACCTTGAATGGCATCCTTATGAAAAACATAAGTGTACACTTTATCATCATCAAAAGCAACAAAAACACCTTTATCCATTGGCCAGTTTTCCCACAAGATTCCTTTAATAGTTGGTGAGAAGTTTGGAATCTCATATAATCTATCATTTACCTACAAAATAATGCAAAAGTAAAATCATTAGCAAGTGACTAAGGAGACAAACTAAATATTCATCCCGGTTATGATTAAAAATAAAAAAAGATTGTAAATAGTGCAGAAATACAAAAATTGTATCAAGAAAAAGTTTTCCTGTAAGCAGTGACTCTGAATAACACAATAGTTTAATTCAGAAGGGAAGTAAATGAAGAAAATGCACATTATATGAATGTTATTTACTTTTCTTAGAAAAAAGGTATGGGGACAGGCAGTGAAACTGGCAGTGCCTGTCAACAGCCTAAAATATCTGTATTTGAATACACAAACACATACATTTCTGAAAATTCCTGATCAGTAATTTAGTAAAATGAAATTGTCCTGATCTAAAATGACAGATTTTATTTCCTTACATTACCATTAAGTTATCCTCAAGCCTCCTTGGCAATTTCTTCCACCAGCATACATGTTGGAGTGACAAAAGCTTCTTCATTCTCTATTAAAAGCACTATATAGTTGAAAAGCCTGCTTGTAAGTATAATTGTATGGGTATCCCACACTAACTTACTGGACAATAGACAAAGCCATCACTTTTGTCATCTGTGAAAGCCAATCTGGTTCCATTGGGATCTGGAAAAATTTTTCTCACACTGACAGGATGCCGATATTCATTCACGTATTGCCAGTCTTCAATGTAGAAATAATGAATAACTCCAGTCTAATGAGAAATAACATAAAAAGCTAATAATTAGTAAGTGGCAAGTAGATAATTAACTTAGTTGTAGTTTCTCCCATGTTAGAGCGCTGAGCATGAAGAGTGTTTAAAGAAAAATACTTCCAGGTGTTTTTTTGGCTTCCTTCTTCATTCACAGCTGGTTTTGGGCAGGATAGGAAAACTTGAGGCTTTTTGCAGAGTGGGGAAAGGAGTTGGAGGTTTGAGGGGTTTTCTGTTGTCTTTGTTGTTTATCTCACTCTGCTTTGTGAAGACAAGCTGTATTTACTGTGCAGTTCTCTAAACAGGGGAAATGCCTGCCTCACTGCCGAGAGAAGCTTAAACTTCAACCAAAACTGAAAAATTTGCCTCCAAGGAAGAACTATACATTCTTAAGAACAGATGTACCTAATTCAGAGAAAAGCAATCAAACTGACTTGTGATTAACACTATGTTTCAATCAGTGTCACACAAACAAGAACACTGAAAGTAAAAGGCAGCTTTTGAAGTCAATTGTAAAATTTGCACACATCAAATTGATCAGTTGTAATTTCAAATTTATCAGTACCAGTTTAGGTACTGAGGAGGTGGGAAAGCCCTCAACTGCTGCAAAACCACTCAAGTTGTTAAACCAGTGATAACACCAGAGATGGTGATTCTGCCTTTTCTCTGGAAGGTCAATACATCAGTCTGTGTCATAAAGAGCACAATACTACAATGACAAACATGCTCTGTATTCCCAGTGCCAGAAAATACTAAAAGCAAAGAAACTACCCCTCATGCATAGGAAAATCTCCAGAAAAATCCATAAGCCTGTTCACAGCCTTCTTCAGTGCCCTCCTAGTTCCTATCTTTGGTGAAACACCTAAAAAAAATTATCTTCAGGCAAAGGCTTCAATAGTAAGTCAAGACTTCCATTTACGCTATCATACTTGTTTACCTCAGTACCTTTTTGTCCACATCTATCACGTCATCACCTAAATCAACAAATTTGCAAGGCAAGTGCCATGTTTTTTCTTATGTCTGGAAGACAGTTTGATTGCCAATCCTCTCACTAATGCAATAGAATTAAATTCTGCTATTAAAATCAGTGTTTTGCAACAAACACTAGTAAAAGCAAAACTTAACCTTCCTGCCAATGCTTCTCATAAAAATGCAACAGTAAAGGAAGTTGGATGCAATTTTAACTGTACCTGCATAAAGTTCTTGCATAGAAAATAATCCATTGTAAACTTCTCAGAAGCACAATTTTTTTGCTAAAAGTATGAGTAATAATCCAAATAATGCAGATACAAATATATTCTATCTAAAAAGATCTTTAAAAACAGCAGTAATACTCACATCTGTACCATATATGAGGAAGTCACTAGTTAAAGCATGGCATAAAATTCGGTATTTATCATCACCTGCTGGGAAGAGTCGAGTTTCTCGTTCTTCCTGACCATCCAAACCTTCACTTTCTATCTAAATATAAAGAATAGAATGAACTGAAAAATTCCACTGTTAATAATGAGGTATCATAGTTTTGCCTGTATCAAACTGTAAGGAAATGAGATGAAAACAAAATTTGCAAGTGCATCCCTTAAAAACCCAGCGTCTGCTTCTGTCACATTCCCACAGAGACCTTTAAAATAAAACTTGTTAAATATTTCACAAGAAAACATTTTTTCTTCACTTGTTCTAGACTAGGTTGTATTTCTAAAGTCTACAGGAACTCAGCTTTATATTTTAATTAGCCAGCAAAAAAATTCTGAATAATTTTTAATTTTTATCTCTATTAACTGAAGATCACTCCATTTTCTCTCATTTTTAAAACTACATTAAGTTGTTCAGCTTGGATCAACTCATTAGTTCAGCACTCAAAATTGCCAGGGCTCTTACCATATGCAACTGGACTTTACCCTCAAAGAGAGCAGCGGCATAATCGGAATTAAGGTGCATACTTGTTACTGTCCCCAGGTACTCCACATCTTTAAGCTTTTTTACATCTGAAGAATTCAAACAGAAAAGAAAAGGCAAAAATATTTTGATTTTGTATAGGTCTTCTCTTATGATCATCTAAATTTGCAGCTGAGTAACCAGCATGAAAAACCCACAACTAAGCAGAGAGTCACACACAAGTCACATGTAAAGAGACTTTCTTCTTAGCAGAGAACTGGTTAGAAAGTACAAGAAAAACTCTTTTCCTATGCAACTCTGACTAGCATTCTTACAGTTTTGATTAATTTATTATTAGTCAGAAAAGTGATACTTAGAGAGACATGAAAGATTTAAATCCACTGTCTATAATTTGGACACAGTTTAACCAATTTTACCCTACCCCACGCAAACAACGTGAACATCTACCAAACTGAGAATTTAAACCCTCTGATCATATAGTCCCTAGGTACTTTGCCAAACTTAGTATTTAAAGAGATGGTCAAATAATGTCTCAAAAGCCTAGAAGTCCTTAATTGGTTAACAACATGATCTAAAAAAAAAACAAAAAAGAAACATTCTACATTTCATTACCAATACCTTGATCCTGAAGTTTTATTTCTATTATTTACAATGCCTTGTCATAACAGCTTCAGTTTGTGAAGATCATTATCCAGTCCTAACAGGACCATATGGCAATTCAAGTTGTTATTGTACAATGTGGAATGTCCAGAACTGCTAAACAAAATACCGAATTCATAAAATAAAGACAATGATGCAGTAGTTTTAAGAGAATTAAATTTATGCTTACTATTCTCTCCAAGAGCATAAAACCAAGCCCGATTGTTCATTCCTACAGCCAAATGATAAACACCAATAGCAACAAAACTGGGCTCTACTTCAACAGAGACAGTAACTGGTAGCTCCTGTAAGAAAACAAAACAAAATAAAACAATTTTAATCCACTATTAATACTTGCTTTACTTACATCTAAATGAAGTTTAAAAGGAAGAGGATATCATACTCTCTCCACATGATTGGCTATAGTAACTTCAAGAAGAGAAGTGAGGTATGCAAGCCGTGTACTGCAAGCATCTCCAAGGATTGGAAGCTTTGTCAAGAAAACATGGAGGGATCCTCTTCGTGTAGATACTGCCAACAACTGTCCGTCATCTGTCCAAGCCAGCTGATCTACACCTAAAACATTCACAAGTTTTTGCAAAAAAAAAAAAAAAATCTCCTTTCTTTAACTACTGAAACCAAGAAACAATTATTTTGCTTTAAAATGTGAAAACGGTAGGAATTCATACCTAGGAATATATGTACTACCGTACTCAAACATAAACAATTAATATAATTCCAAGATTAACTGGAATCACTCAAACCAAACCCATAATTTACTAATTTAGCATTTTCCTAAGAGTGAAGACTTGACAACAACTGAAGTATTTACAGACACTACAAGAGGAGATAATGGTGGTAACTCATTACCCAAGAACATAGTCTTGTAACAATGTTCTGGAAGCCACAGGCACAAATCCTGTATATCAGGATGAGAACAGATTAAGTATCATGTCAGTAAAAGACATGCTGAAAAGCACAAAAAAACTCACCAAAAAAACCATGGAAAGAAGCAGAAACTAGTTAAGTATATTATTTTAGTAATCTGAATATACTGTATTACAGATTCAAAAAACCAAAACACTAACTGATCAAATATTCTGAGACCTGTACTTCTCTATACTTTGAACAGATAAAATAAAATATGTTCCCATTTTGTTATGGGTCACCTAATAAATATAAGTTGGCAAAGAAGGAATTTATGATAAATGCTATATCTACACAGTTTTTCCAACAACAGTATTTTCACTTACATAAACAGAGTCACCATCAAAATTCTGGTTTACTTAATTTGTAAAAATTTCTATCTGCATGGAGACTGTTAACATACCTTTGTTTTCATCATCCAAGTTTATTATGGCATACATTTCTCTCAGGTCTGACAGATCATGGATCTTAATGCTAAAACAAAAATAAACAGTCATTCTCACTAATATAAATCTCAGTCATCGTAAACTGGAAGAAACCCAACCCAATCAAGACAACCTAATGGAGCAAAAAATAGAGTGCAAATGCAAAATGCCTTCCATTTCCTAAAGAGCAACACACACGCATTGTTATCCAGCACTCTAAATAGTGTATCACTATCACTGTACAAAAAGATTTGCTCAGAGAACTAAAAATTGAGGAAAAGGCACAAATCCAATTTGAAAGAACTCAGGAGTGGGAAACACACACTATTATTTCCTTTTGACCTGTTACAATACACATTAGGTTAAAAACACATTCCTGACGAACAAATACTGCTTGAAACACAGATGCAAAAAACTAGCTTTCAATCCTGCTTTACATAAAAAGGGACAGAGTGAGAGTTTACTTATGCTGTCATGTTACTCAATATATGCTTAAAGAACCCCTTAAAGAAATAATACTTATTGTACCATAGCTGAAGTGCTTGAAGCTGCACCATGTTTTGCTCACAGTTATACCACTCTTGATGTGCAAGTGTCATAAATCAGCATTCTGTTAAGGTCATACACAGAACTGTGAACAGACAGAACGGTCTGACTCCTACCATCACTCAGCTCCTTTTTTGCTGAAGAATTCAGATATCACAGAATCAGGGAGTAGCAGACGAGGCACTGAAGAAGATACTCTATCATATGCACAACATATTTTGGAAAAACTCCAGTCTCTCTAACTATTTTTTTTCTTTAAATGCTTACACATTCATACTTTTGTCTAGATTGCAGGTAGGACCAAACACCAGGGAGGAGGATATCAGCATATCAGCATACTCAGTACAGCTTTAAATGAATTGTTCTCCTATTGCTAAGCAGATGTTTGTCCAATCAATAAATCATAGTAAAGAAATGTGGACATTTTTGTAGCCAAGTAACATAATAGAAAAAGAAAGAATCAAAAGGAATAATCTATACTAAAGTTTAATTAATTTTTTTTTGTTTACAATTAATTACAATGAAGTTAGCTATAATTGCAGAGATTTTGGTCAAATATTAGCTTCTCCTAACTTCAGGCAGAGAGGCAGTTCCACAGAGCAATTCGCCTCACCTTCTCTGCGCTGACTTCTTAGGGAGCCTTGAAGCCTTAGGGAGCCTAGTTTTAATGCCTAACAACTACAGTTATGCGAGATGAATTCCATTCTTTATGTATAAAGCTACCACTTACCAATTGTCTCCACATGATGCAGCTTTGTTTAATGACTGTGATACAGCAATGCTGCTTAGATTATCCTTATGATTATGAGCTTGAAAGATTTCTTGACCTATCTCACGAATGTGTGTAGAAATGACTACAAAACACCCTCGTGAGAAACCAATCATAATGTAGCCATCACCATACCTGTTACAAAAAAACCAACAATTAAGACATCTATTTATGCAATACGCAAAATGCATTTTCTTTCAGGCTACTGGGGTAACTGTCAATGCCTCCCATCAATAGGAAAAATAATCAAATTATGGGAATTTATATAATGTAGAACAATATAGTATAAAATAGATTAAGGGAAGAACAACCAAAGATTCTTGAAAGACAAAACTATGTTTGTGCCCAGAGTTCACTCATAAGTCGTCTTTATTCTCTTTCTACATTCTATATGCCACTTTACTTTCAGCAAGCTGCATACATGGCAGTGATGCCAGGAGAAAGGTATCTTCATTGGAATAAGCATGTCAGGAGATGGAAACTTCCATTTCAAGGTTCCGGCTGACTTGGTCCCATCAAAGTTATGCTAAAAATAATAATGCCAGTCACTGTGCCCTTAAGGCATGCTACTGCAAACACAATGGAAGTACCAAAGCTACAATCTGTATTTGTGAATAGATAGTCTGTTTACTTTTCACAGGGTCAAGTAGAAATAATGAGGTTAAGGCAGAAATAGTTACAGCGTATAAGGATGAATTCAAACAATACCTCATCAGCTTAGTTGCAAAAAAATCATTGCAAGGGAAACAGCGCAGGTATGCCTTGTCAGACATATGGCCGTTAAGAAGCATATAGCTACAGGTTTTCTTACATGGTTGTAGTGTAAAGGGATAAATGTAAATTCCACGTTAACTGAACAGGCATTAAAAGACATGGTGTTATGATTCAAAGATACAGAAACAGTACAGCTACTTTTTGGGTACAGAGTTGAAACTTCTAGCTTGAATCATAGAATCATAGAATCATAG